TCTTCCTCTACACCTTGCCAAAGGAATCATCAAAAAATAGTACAGGGTGTCCAAACGCTAAGCCTCCCAAATGGGTCAGATGTTTAGTAACAACCCTGTATAATATAATATAAATTATAATAGCATAGTCATTGTAAATAGGTCTACACATATGATTTTATACACGGTCTACCTTTATACATTTATAAACTATGGATAATATAATAGTTTTCAAAATAAGTTTAACTTATAATCTCTAGTATTATCCTAATTTAGTAACAAAATATTAAATTATTGTAAATCAAAATGTTTATTGCATTAAAATACCTAGTTAAAACTTGTATATTAATCTCAATATACAGTATATTTAGACTTTATAAACGTTTACTTAAGGATGTTAACCCACTTGTCCACTTGTTGTAATTATTGTATAAATATCTATATATTAAATAATCATGTTAATTATAAATGTAACTATAACCTTTTTAAAAACTATTGAGTGATTCACGATTTTTTATAACTTATAATATATAAATGCATTGTCAAGCAATAAGTATATACTAACTAATATCTATTAAAAAGTATCCACTTGTGTTATTAACTCTAGTATTAAATCATATGTCCATGTTTATCTTTTTCTTTCATACGTCTATTTCATACATACTTATTGAATGACCCTTTTTTAAGATTTGAAAAACAAAATTCTAATTCTAATTGTCAATAGAGAAGGCTATTGTATTCAGTCTCAAAGGCGGCGCTGGATATGTTCACAAAGTGCGTAGCGCTCGAGTTGGGCCCCAAAGGCATCCGGGCTAATGTTGTCAAGTATTAACTCACATATAATTAATTGGTAATTCTAAATTAATGTGCTTGCTACTTTCAATATTTTTTATGATGAAAGTCCCGGTCCAATGAAGAGTCCATTTTTTGCAAACACTCGTAATGTGACTAAAGAAAAATCGGACCATATTTTGGAGGGGAAGGCCAATAAGTGCCCGATTGGACGGGTGGGTGAGCCCATGGATGTGACAAAAGCCGTGTTGTATTTGACGTCCGATTTGGCGTCGTTTGTGACCGGATCTAATTTGGTGGTCGATGGCGGTGTCCAATATATCTAACCTTATATAAAATATTTAATCAAGAATAAAGTTTAAAACAATATTTATTCATTAGTTTTGCATTAGTTAGGTCATAATTATGACCAGGGTATAATAGTTTTGAACAATATAGGAATACAAATGTCATTCTTAATGGACATTGTTGTACTTATCTTTCAAATATTCTAACTATTAATACATTAATTTTTAATATGAAATCTTTAATTTCAAAATGAGTACTTCTTATAATATCATTAAACTGACCAAAATGGTGGTGGAAAGGTTAAAACCAATTTTTTACAGCGTAAATGTGGGTAAAAGTTAATGGGTTAATAGGTTAAATTAGCAAATGGAAATATATGGCAAGACATTTTTATCTGATAAAAGGATCTTCTTATTTGATGAACATTCAAATAACTAGTACAATTACTTGTAGCCACTTAACCATGACATATTTTATTAGTTATCAAGTTAATAAATAATATAATTGATAATTGAATGTTATTAAATCTAGAAATTATATTAATTGCTTATAAATTGTATTAAGGTAATAAAAATGTTTTGAATCAAAGTTAAGTGTTTAATTGACTTGTTGACTATAATGTACTAATATACTAAACTAAAATAGTCTATCGCTTGTGAACGCCCACAACAAGCCGTTTGGGTTTTAATGAGCCGAAGAGGACCGTAGTGTAGACGACGGGGACGTCAGTGTCGGTGACTCTGGAGAAGCGGAACGAATGCGAGATCTTCGCCAACGCGAGCTTTGCCTCCAATAACGCGAATCGCATTCCAATGCAATTTCGTGGACCCGAACCGAATGGGAGGTAAGTATAGGGTTGGATGTGATCCCTGTTTTGCGGCATAAATCTATCAGGGTTGAATGTGAATGGATCCGGATAGTGGTTGGGGTCGTGGTGAATAGCATACACCGGGATTTCGACGGACACTCCCTTCTCGATCTTTACTCCAGTATTGCCTAACATTACGTCTTCCATGGCTTCCCTCTGAAGATGAAGTATTTGCGGACTATTGCGAAGAGTTTCGGATATGAGTGCGTCCAGGAATGGTAGTCTCGATAGGACTTCGTAATCCATTTCTCCCTTTTCATTGAAAGCCTCTTTCGTCTCCTCATAGAGTCTGTCCTGAAGTCCCGGATTGAGTGCCAACTCATACGTACAGTGCGACAGAGTAAGGGCTGTCATCCCATATCCGGCCGTAAAAAACGTCAAACATTGCGCTAATATCTCGTCTTCAGTCAACTTCTTCTCCGATACTCCGGTGAAGGCCTCGGCATTGGCTTTCATCTCATCCTTACCCTCATTCACATGATGTGCTTCATTCGCATCACTGGCCTCTCGTATGTCTCCTTCAGGTCTCTCGGCATCCAATAATAGCTGCAGAAAATCGTTGTGTTTTTCGTGGTTTTCCTTTCGTTTCTTTATTAGACTTCTCGTGACATCGTTGAAGAAGTCCATTCCAGATGCCCCGACGTCTACCACTCGTCGGTATATATAATTGTTTATTAAAAATCTAGGGATAAACGTGTCTAACATCCCTTTCCAAACGGCAATATTGCGAATATTGAAAGCACTGGCAATGAACGGGTTGTTAGGATCGGCGTATGTATTGGTTTTGGTAGCAAAGGCACAGCTGGCGATCACATCCATAGTGTAGGCGCCCATCAGTCGCGTCAACTCGACTTCATTCATACCATTCGACACATCCTTATCGAAGCTATCGATGAAGTCTTCGCAGCACCGGTTGATAAGGGCATACATTTTCCTCATCTTTCCAGACGAGAAGGTAGGGCTGGCTATAGCCCGCACTCGTTTCCAATCGTCATCCCTGGCTCTGAACATACTTTTCATGATCTGTTTCTTACTCCTGGCCCGTGGCTGTCGGTTACGAAATGCATTGAAATCTTTGACCAGAATTTGTTTGATGAGCTCCAGGTCGGACACTATTAGCCTTGGCTTTGCTAATTCTGTACACACATTCAAAAAGTTTTAAATTTTCTTTTTAGTTTCACGCCATATATTATATACCCATAGATTTTGTCGTATTTCTTATACCACTCCATCTCCACCAATGGTCGCGATCTTACCACAAGACTCAAGAGGTTTCCGAATATAGGGATGGGTTTTGGACCACAAATGTGTCGATCCTTCCAATAGCTGAAGGCATTTCTCCACGAACTCAATGAATGAATAAATAAGTTTTATTATATTAAAATTATTTTAAGTTTTTGTTTAATTTCAATTTATTAATTAAATCCAATATGTCTTACAAGTAGTAGTACGCGATCACCGCCACAATGACTCCTATGAGACAACAGCCGTATGTCCGACAAATCGCTGCCAACACCAACTCCAAGTGTAAACTCATAATTGACTCGATGTTTAATAAATATAATATTATTTTAAACTTATAGTATAACCAGCAACAATGTAAACCTTGTAGTGCACAAATAATACTTTCTAGAAAATTGTGTACTCTTTTTCAAAATCATATTTTGTAATAAGAAATGACATTCAAAAGCAATATTACAAGCACTTTGTAAATAGCACTTTTGTGTTCGAGGTTAAATTCAAGTTTTAAAACGATGCTTGTCTCTATGGGGTATGTTCAGAGCTCCTATCGGTTGTGAGTTTTAACCAAAAATAGATGTTTCTTCACGCATAATAGATTTTACAAAAGTTTTTATATGAAACATGAAATACTGTTTAATGTATAAAATTAGTGAAATATAATACTAATTGAAATACAATTTATAAAATAAACATAAATGATTAAAAATTTTACAATACATGATTAAATTGAACAAATAAATATTTTTCAATATTTTTAGTATCTAAAGACATTCGTCTATCAGATAACATAAATTTCAGTGTTGAGAATGACTTTTCAACCCAAACAGTGGTCATCGGTGAATATACTTCAATTGAACTATACTTTTGGTTTACATACCACAGAAAATCCGTATTCTTCTCCAAAGAACTTTTCAATTTTTTCAAACATTTCGTGTCATTAATTGTCTTAAATTTATGTCTCACTTTATCAATAATCTTAATTTGTTCATTAATAGTAACCGAATCCTTTTGAATTGCAATAATAGAATCCGTCAAAAATTTATATTTTAACAAATTATTCAATTCTACTTTAAGCGCTTCATCTTCAATAAGAGTCTTAAGTTCTGAAAGGGCGTTGTTTTTGTGTGAAATATCAGTAATAAATTTGCAAATTATGTCGTAATGTTCGGCATAATAATAACACACTTCTAGCCAAGTACCCCAACGTGTGATAACTGGTTGTTTTGGTAAAGCAATCTCACAAATTTGTTTAAATTCTCTTTTCCTTTTCGGTGAATTAGTCAACAGTTCTTTAAATTTTGTAACAAATGTATTGGCCTTAAGATGGTTTTGTCTAATTGTTTCACAAACTCTTTGCAATGAATGCGCAATACATGTCACATGTTTCATATTCTTAAATGTCTTTTTTGCTTTTTTGACTCCATTCAAACAAGCAGGTGCTTGATCAGTTAAGCATAAAACAACATTATCGTAATTTATACCAATTTTATCACATGCTTCTATGATCGCGTCTCTGATGTCGTCTCCAGAAGTTCCTTTAGGATATAGCGTCGCAATCAAATATGGTTTTGTTGGGGTTCCGTTTAAAATACCACACATAATATTACATACAGTTCGTTGCAATCCATCTGATGATTCGTCAATTTGAAGGTATACTTTATTGTTTCCAATCAATTCCTTAACATTGTTGAACACCATATCATACACAATTCGGACGTAATTTTGTCGAAGTGTTTCAGGTTTTGGCAAATTTTCTTTAATCCAATCAAACAAAAATGATCTTAAAGCCGTACAATTCAGTCTCTCGAATGGGATGCCGGCTGCCATAAATACTGCAGCAATTGCTAACCAAAACTTATTTATACCTTTGGTGACATTTTTGTTCACAAGTGTTGACAAATCTTCTGTTGATTTCCGTTTATTTGATTTAGCCTTCAGTTTATTTAAATGGTTAATAGAATTAAGATGTCTATCAGTAGTCCATTTGAAGTGTTGTGAATCGATTTTATCGAAATAATGTTCACAAGGCATACACATTAGTCTGCTATTATGTATACACAAATTTAAGTCCTTTTCACAAATTTCAAACATTTTATCTCTTAATAATTGGTCAACATTTTGTTTTTTGACAAAATTTGTGAACACATTTTGATAATTAGTTTGGTTTTGCATTGGATTAGCTATTGATTTGGTTATTTCAACACTTTTGATGTAAAATAATTGATAAAATATTTTCTAATCACAACACCATTAATACACTCAACACTTATCACTATTTCCACTGTTTTTAGACTAAATGTTAATTCAAGACTCGATATTAAAGTGAATCAATAATACATAAATTAAAACATTCAAATATTAAACAATTATTTAAAACAAACTTAAAATGAATTGCAATTCAATTGATTTAAATTCATATAAAATAAGTTATAAAATGCTTTCCAATCACAACACCATTAATACAAACACTTACTGCAGAAATTCAATGCTTACAAATTACATGCAGTTATGTTTATTTGAAGCAATTTAATCACATGTTTTGAATAAATTGTTTTTCAATTTTCAATAATAATCCCCTTTATCTTATCACATAGCAATTTTATAATCCGTATAGCTATGCTTTTAAGCTTTTTTATGCGTGACTGTACTTTTGTTGCTCACAACCGATAGGAGCTCTGGGTATGTTTTTAGTTTAATTCTACCATGATGCTGCAATAAACATCTTCCAATATTGGTAGATCCGCAAGTTTCACCAAAAGCCTACCCTGGTCATAATTTTAGATTTACTGCATGCATGTCTATTTTGCGTAATACCATAGTACAGGGTAGGCTTTAATTAACGATACCATTTTGATTCTCGTTTATTTGAACACCCTTTATTACTTTTAATTG